GCAGGGAGCCCAATGTGGGGCTCGATCCCAGGACCCTGGGATCATGACCTGAGCCGAAGGCAGACGCTTAACGACTGAGCCACCCAGGCACCCCTCAATGTTTTTAAATTTTAAAATGAGCTTCTAAATTGTGACCCCAAATGAATTCTGATTATACTGAAGACCCTTAACCCTATGTCACTAATCAGATGATTGATCTAAATTTATTATCTTTCATTAAGGCAGAATTGTTAGTGTACAAGAAATGAAACTTTAATGTGCCATAATATGTTCATACAGTAAATTGCTAATCTATGAAAAAGTGGTTTTATGGTATGAAATTTGGGATTTCTCCTATGTTCATAACTCATCTTATGTGATTGTTAACAGACTATTTTTAGAGCAGTTTTAGGTTAACAGCAAATTGACAAGTTAGAGATTTCCACTATACTTCTTGTCCCCATATGTGCAGAGCCCTCCCCCATTTTCAACATCCCTCACTGTAGTGGTATATTTATTAATACTGATGAACCTACACTGACACAACATTATCACTCAAAGCCCATAGTTTACATTAGAGTTCACTCTTGGTGCTGTATATTTTATGGGTTTGGACAAACTTAAAATGACATGTACCCACCATTATAGTACCATACAGAGTAGTTTCACTGTTCTAAAAATCCTCTGTGCTTCATTGTCCTTATTCATCCCTCTCTCCTCCTAAACTCCTGATAACGTCTTTTTACTGTCTTCATAATTTTGCCTTTCCCAGACTGTCAGTTAGAGTCAAACAGGATGTAGCCTTTTCAGACTAGCTTCTTTCACTTAATAATACACATTTTAGTTTCCCCCATGTCTTCTCATGGCTTGATAGCTCATTTCTTTTTAGTGCTGAATAATACTCCATTGTCTGGATGTACCAGTTTATTTGTCCATTTGCCTAATTAAAGGACATCTTGGTTGCTTCCAAGTTTTGGCAACTGTGAACAAAGCTGCTATAAACATCCATGTTCAGGTTTTTGTGTGGATATAAGTTTTCAACTCCTTTGGCTAAATACAGAAGAATGCAATTGTTGTACCATATGGTAAGAATATTTTAGTTTTGTAAGAAACCATCACACTGCCTTCAAAAGTGGCTATACCATTTTGCATTCCCACCAGCAATGAATGAATTGAGAATTCCTGTTGCTCCACATCTTTCCCAGAGTTTGGTGGTGTCAGCGTTCTTAATTTTGGCCATTGTAATAGGTGTATCTGGTACATATTTGGCGTAATGAGTAGCAGCTCATTGTTTTAGTTTGCACTTCCCTGGTGAAATATGATGTGTAGCATCTTTTCATAATCTTATATGCCATCTCTACATCTTCTTTGGTGGAGTGTCTGTTAAGATCTTTGGTCCACTTTTTTTTTTTATTATGTTCAGTTAGCCACTGGTTCATTAGTTGCATAGAACACCCAGTGCTCATCACAACATGTGCCCACTTTTTATTTTTTATTTTTTTTAAAGATTTTATTTATTTGACAGAGAGAGAGAGAGAGAGAGACAAGGAGAGAGGGAATACAGCCGGGGGTTGGTGGGGAGCCCGATGCAGGGCTCGATCCCAGGACCCTGGGACCATGACCTGAGCCAAAGGCAGATGCTTAACAACTGAGCCACCCAGGTGCCCCACGTGCCCACTTTTTAATTGAGTTGTTTTCTTATTGTTGAGTTTTAAGAGTTCTTCATATATTTTGGATAATAGTCCTTTATCTGCTATGCCTTTTGCAAATATTTTCTCCCTGTCTGTGGTTTGAATTTTCATTCTCTTGACAGTGTTTTTCACAGAGAAAATTTTCATTTTAATTCAGTCCAACTTATCAATTGTTTCATGGGTCATGCCTTTGATGTTATACCCAAAAATTCACTGCCAAACCCAAGATCATTCAGATTTTCTTCTATTTATCTTCTAGGAATTTTATAGTTTTGTGTTTTACATTTAGGTCTGTGACCATTTTGAATTAATTTTTGTGGAGGGTGTAAGGTCTGTGTCTATATTCATTCTTTTACATGTGAATGTCTAATTGTCCTAGCACCATTTGCTAAAAAGACTGTCTTTGAACCACTGTATTGCCTTTGCATCTTTGTCAAGGATCAGCTGACTGCATTTAAGTGGGACTATATTTTATTCCATTCTAGATTCTGTATTTTATTCCATTGATCTATTTGTCTATTTTTTCACCAATATCACACTAGCTTATTATAGCTTTATAGTAATTCTTGAAATCTGGTAGTGTCAGTCCTCTGATTTTGTTCTTCTCCTTCAATACTGTGTTGGTTATTTTTGGGTCTTTTGTCTCTCCAGATAAGTTTTATTTATTTAAAAATTATTATTTTTTGAATTTTTATTTAAATTATAATTAGTAACATACAGTGCAATATTGGTTTCAGGAGAATTCAGTGATTCATCACTTATATTCAATACCTAGTGCTCAACATAACAAGCGCCTTCCTTTTTTTTTTTTTTTAATTTTATTATGTTATGTTAGTCACCATACAATACATCATTAGTTTTTGATGTGGTGATCCACAATCCATTGTTTTTGTATAACACCCAGTGCTCCATGCAGTACGTGCCCTCCTTAATACCCATCACCAGGCTAACCAATCCCCCCTCCCCCCCTCTAAAACCCTGTTTGTTTCTCAGAGTCCATAGTCTCTCATGGTTCATCTCTCCCTCCAATTCCCACCGCCCCCCCATCTCATTTTTTCCCTTCCTTCTCCTAGTGTCCTCCAGGCTATTCCTTATGTTCCACAAATAAGTGAAACCATGTGATAATTGACTTTCTCTGCTTATTTCACTTAACA